GTCAACTTGCTGTCCCGTATTGGTGGATTCCATATGAACGGCAAATTTGGGCGGGTAATATTGAGCCAAGTGTGATTGAATTCACGGTGTGAAGCGTGGCATTCGTAGCTCAAGTAGATATGGCGTTGGCTTCCGGTTAAGGCCTTCCCTCCTATGCGGATTAAAATCCCGCTGAATGCCGCGAGTTTCTTCACAATTGGGTCAACTAAACTGCTTTTGGCTGTAGCTCGTAAGACAAAGGACACACATCGAGAAAACCTGGCGATTTCGAGCTTGCAGTAGGGTCGGAAGCTGGACTATTCCGTCAGGTCAGGACCTCTACAGAAACAATGACCATATGTGCAGGCAGTATGTCATATATATACTACCCAGTAACAGTTTACTCAGACTTGCGATACAAAATATATGCGGCAGTCCAACGTCACAAAGGATTGACTGATTCTCTTTCTAACTGCGTACACTTTAACGGAAATGCAAACAACATCACAACATATAATATAGGTGAATAATCGTAGCTATGTGCAACTTGAAATATAATTGATTTAGACATTGACTACTCAAATAGTATTCCAGCAACATAAAGTACATAATTAAGTTCTATACGGGTTCATAGGTCAAAGGCAACTAATTCTTCTGAGAGTTATTCAAAAAACATAATCATCGGCCACTAGTGTACAGATGAGTATTTTTAGATGAACTTGACAAATCCCAAAATATGTATACTTTGTGAAGGGTATAGAGTTGGTGCATAAATTCAAATACCACCTCTAATACAAAGTGGTCTATGCACTTCTAACTAGTGCGCAGAGATTTTCGTTTAAACGCACTCAATATATCACTTGTTGCTTTTTAAAGGTCATAGTTACGTCATGGAAGTGAAACTGCCATGTCTTGTGAACAACTTAATCTACAAGTCAGTAATCGCCGACGGGCTAGGATAATAAAAACTTAGTATTTCATAGATTAACTCAGAAAGTTTCTTCACGAGTAATATTTAATAAAAATTAGGACAGTGTTTTTTTAAGAATTTATCAAAATTACCTAATTATACGGGAAAATGGAAAACTACTTTGTTATTTCGAGAAGAATGTATAAAAGATTACTTAAAAATACTCAAAGTCATTAGGGAGAAAATAATCAGGGAAACAACACCAGGCAATAAGGGGAATACCTTTTTAATCATCAACTAAACGTGATAGATTAGTAATCAGAAATAGATGCTGCAGGCAAACATGGACCTTTGAGGTCTTGTTTTTGATAAAAGATTCTATGGATTCAGCGGTTACAACACAACAAGATAGGGGCGTGCGTCTTTTGAGGGCCAGATACTTACCAAAAATATAAGTTGAATTATTGTTAAAACGGAAACAATCATACTTTTCGAAAGGTAGACTAGATTCCCCAACGAATAAATTTGGCACCGCTCCAATCGTTATAATCGAAAAGCGTATGCGAGTGGAAATACATGAGTCGTCGTGTTTGTAACATTACCGACGAGGTTCTCTAAGAGTGACATTATTTCGCCTATATGAGGGGGTCTGTTGGCAGGATTAAATAAGACAAGCAAGATTTAGATATTTATGGCTATTTTTATTTTTATTTTAGTTTGCTTCCTGAAAAAAAACTGGGGTTTTCCGTCATGCAAATCAACCTGGTTGTCACTAGGTGACGTCGCCATGATGAACCTCTTCTGGATTTTCGTTTTCGGACGTTCATAGCGCTGCAGGGCTCTGCAGTCGGCATTCGTTAACCCGTTCAATAAATACAATTTACACTTTTATTGCAGACAACTTATGTCATATTATTTATTCAAGCACCACCTCCGACGTGCAAAACTGTTTTTCGCCTTTTATGTGACGTAGCACGCCGCTTAGGAGTGTCTTCTTGTTTATATTGGGGTGGGTGCCAACCTATCGGATTGGTTTACCAGATCAAGGTGCCACTATGACCTAGGTGACAAGCTTTTAAATATTTCAATTCGTCATACAGGTGGATCGATGGGCTGTGGGCCAGTTTAGCTCTCAAAATATCCCCCAGTTACACTTTTATTTCAGACAATTTTCTTTCGATAACTTATGCGAACCGATTAGAATTTACTTTAGCGGTATTATGTAGGAGTAAATGGCGCGAGCTATTGATGACCTGGAGCTTAAAATGATGTCAACTCATCAGCAGAACGTAGAAAGCAGGTTGTATAAGTCATATGCCCCCTGGAGCCCGTTGTGCTTGTCCAATAGACTGCTATTACCAAAGCTGGACAGCAGGCTGGCTAGTAATCTCGCCACTTCTGGTTTGCGGAAATTGGGGCAGTATGTGGTCTCGTTCTCCGTAGACAGCACTGGTTCGCCAAACTACTTCTTTGCAACTCCTTCCTGGAACCTGAATTTTCGCCTGTTTTGGCACTGTCATACACGGCGCTTGCTTTCACGGGGTATTTCACTTCGGTTATGTATAGTGACCGCAGCGCATTCCATCCGCTGAGACTTTATATTCTTACTCGGCCTTTGTAAATGTATGTCTGCTTAGTTAACCTTCCTCTCGAGCACTGAGTTTAATTATTGGGAAATTTTAGCCCAGGGCCAGAATCTCCCCCAGAACTGGAAGTAAATATCAATCCTCCATCTGCATTGATTTGTCTAAGAAAGAGAGAATGGGTCTGTCGGCTTAGCCGAGGACAAATACAGCAGACATAAAATAGATCGGACGAGAGCCGACATCAACCGTAGTTCCTTATCAGCCAATACGGATAAAAGGCAAGCCATAAGTTAGTACACCCTTTGAAGTGCCGAGTTGTACTACAGAACTGGGCGTAGTGGGAGTTGAGGGGCCAGAAAGAGTGAGTGAACGGCTGGACTGAAAATGTAATTTTTCCCTCTTTTACCTACCTACTAATATATGCGAATGTATTGTGAGGTCTGGCAGAACTAAGCACCTAGGGCTAAAAGACGTGTAGGCCTCCAGTGCGAACGAAAGTTTGTCCTGCTACAGCCCAAAGCGAGCGCAGAACCGTGCGCACCACTTAGCGGCAGGATAATCATAACTTCCAGCAGGATAGTAAAGTCAACAGTTTCAGTGGATTGTTTTCACAATTAAGGACCAGTAGTGTAATTAGTTCTACTGCGTGTACTGGATAGATCAAAGTAAAACAGGAAAAAAATTTAAGCGTTGGAAGGAAGGTGTGAATAGCAATTTAAACATGATCGATAACCTTTGCAGTCTGCCCCCCCCCTTTAACACAGCGGTCATGATGGCTTACTGAAGTCGTCCGACACAGAAAACACGTGCACAGCAATAATATAATTAAACTGAAGAAGAAGAAGAAGAAGAAGAAGAAGAACACGCGATCACTCAAACGGCAATTGTATTATTCTGAGCCTTCGGCTTCACACCAGAGGCCATCTTTGGAGAAAATGAAAAAGCAGTAAGCG